GCTGGAGAGTTGAACCGATCCACGCTGCCGAAAATCGGTTTCCCGGTATGTCATGCAGTACAGTGTTGTTGTATCTTCCGTACCAGGACCTTCCAACAGGTGGTTTTGGGGCACTGGACTTGTGACACAGGTGTTTTCTGGCACAGGTGTAGCCTGACACGAATCCGGCTTTGCTCGTTGCTTCGCAGGCGAAGGACGCCCCAGGACCTTTGTTGGCCTTCCCACCTGCAGGAGCACCAATGGACCAATGGACCGTTGCAAAACTCAGCCATTTTGCGATCGTTTTGGGCCATGCTTCACGCAGTCCGATCCCAACGCGTCACGAATCGAAAAAATGAGTGTTCTGTGTTCCAAAAACTGCCTTTGAGGGCCGAAAGATTCAATAAAGGCTGCCTCCTGTGCCTCTGCGTGCTGAAGAGGATAGGTACCAAAGGACCAAGGAAGGAGAAGTCAAAACTGAACTGAACCAGTTTTTACTTTACCACCCTGACTTGAATGACTTGACTAAACAAAATTACAAGACAAATAACTTTGCTGAGATTTGTCATATCAGCTTCAGTGACCCTTTGTGCAGGCTTTTACTTGACCAACATGTGCTTGGACCGAACCAACATGTAGCAGTTGGTTCGGGTCCAGGGTCGCCTCGGGATCCATTCAGACCACTCCACACCAGTGCCCTGCGTGTTGCCACGGCCGCGCCCGCACCTCCGTCGTTGCGTCCAAAAAACCCAACTGGTGCCTCGCTACCTGCGCAGGAGCCAAGGCAGAGCCTCCTCCCAAGGTGGGAAGATGTGTGCGTGATGCTTATCTGAAACGCCGGTAGAGGAGCCTTTGGTAGACCAGTGTAGTCTGAGTGTAATCCGTTCAGTTCATTTTCCACCAAGCAGCTGGCTCCTTGATTTGTGACCCTTCCCGATCTGTGACTGGGGTTGACCCCTCCCTGCGTTCGGTCTGGGTCGATGCAACGATCTCACCCTGTGAGCGACTGCCAAAGACCCGGCAGAATTGGTGCGCGAGATATTCGGTCTGTCCCATTCCCACCAACAGAGCCACAACCCCCCCCCCGTCCTTTTTTCAATGAGGAATCAGGAAGGAACTTGTCATACAAGATCATACAAGTAACTCTCGCACATGCCAAAGCCTGGTTCGTGAGAGCTTGCGTAAGCTTCTCGTAAGCTGAACCAGGAACTGAACGCACTTAAGCTGCCAGTGTGCTCAAGTAAGTGAGGCAGAAGCTGCGGCATAAGCCAAAATGATACGACAAGGCAGATGCACGACCTTTTGAGCACAGCTCAATGGTCAGCAAAAGATTCGTACTGTAACAGACTAGTAAAAGATTGGCATCACAAGGCCCTTACTAACCATCATCATCGCCACCATCACCAGCAGCAGCAGCAGCATCATAATAATAATAGTTGATAAATATTAATAACAAAATAATCATCATCATCCACTGCCAGTGGTGATTAGACCATTCCAACTTACTAGTACAGCTTTACCACTTTGGAAAGACTTACTATATACATCAAATAGACCTGGTGTATAGCCATGATGAAGAACCACTGGGAATTTGCGAGCACGGGAAATGCCGCATTGGGTCCTCGTTGGGCGTTTGAGCTGCTCCCACGTGTGAACCATTGGGCCTGCCCCCCCCGGCTTCGATGGAGGCGATTGCAAACCTGGGGACCTTACTTAACCGACCGAACATGAAGAGAATAGACCGGGGAGATCAACCGGAACGAGCAGCAGGGTGCACCCATGTTGGTATCTCATCCCTTGCAGGGTCGACTGACATGTCCAGGCAACCAGTATTTTCGCAGAAGGTCTCAAGCTCTTCCAGGTCGACTCACCGATCTCGGAGTCGGCATCTCGGGGCAGGACATGGGGATGGGGTCGGTGAACGACTAGACGCGTCGTGCCCGGTCGGCCAGAAGTGGGTGGTGAACCGTCGAGGGTGAAGGCCGTGGCTGGGTGCCATAGAAAAGGATGGAAAACTGTGAAAAAACCTGTAGGGCTCTAGTTCGGGGACTATCCTTTGTTCTTCCGTTGATCATGTACAGGTGGTTTCAGAGTAGTGTTTTTTAGATGGGGTCCATGTAACCTCTTGGGGATTGTGCCATCTACTCTACTCAATCCACTTTGCTCCTGATGAGTTGTGCCCCCGATGTTGCGGTGAGTGAGGGGAGAACTAAACATGGAGGTGGGTTTGGGCTGCCAAGGCCAAGGACCATTTTGAGGCATTTTTTTCTAGATGACCCTTGGGTTAACCAGGGGGGTTGGGTGCCGTTGGCAATCTCTTTCGTGACCTTTTGGACATTTGTTTTGCCCAGACGCGAACATCTCTTAGCCTTTAAGTTGATTTCATGCGTTTGATGAAATTCTAAGGGCGGCAGTTGCTCGTCTGAGCGACTAGCAACTTGTTTGGTTTTGGACATGGGAACAAGCTAGTATGGTTTAACAACCACTTGTGCTGGAGTCTAATGAGGTCCGTCTTGAACATCACGCACAAAACCGTTTACCAACACCTTTTTCAGTGAAGTTGCCAACTCTTTTGGGTCCTTCGCCCATCACCTCAAGTGCGAACTCGGTGCCCCAGTTTCCAAGACAGCCACAGGTCAAGACCAGTCGCCTTCGCCACCGAGTGTTGTGGGTCGGCTTCAGATAGCCCTGTCCCAATCCCACCGAACGGGACCCAACGTGTGACAGACTGGGTCCACCGGAATGCCAGATGGACACACCTGCGGCGAGCACGGAGAAAGAGGCGTGTTGTTTGGCATGCCCGAGCTGGCTCTGGGAAGATGCATGCAAGAGATGCAAAGGAAAGTGGACTATTCAACAGGTCATTATTAAATTGTTGGTAGAGGGCAGACCCTTTTCATGGAAGTCCAAGTAAGGGGATGTTGACATGGGTTCAAATGAGCTTGTGGAGAGCGTTGGACAAGTGATAAAACATATCGATAATCTATTTGCTTTCATTGTTGTTGTGATTATTACTATTATTGATATTATTATTGTTATTGCCGTTATTATTGACAACTGTCAAAGAATCATGAACGCATCTACAAGACGTCCAAAGATACTTTTTAGGATCGATCCTAAGAAAGTGTTCTGGGCACTCCAGCACCTCCACTTTGATAGCCTCTGACTTTGCTAGGCTGCACCCAAGCCAGCCACATCTCCAGAGGCGGGCGAAGGACCGTAGGAGCACGAACAAAGGGAGGAAAGAACGGTCTCCAGTGTGGCGGGACCTGCAAACTCTTCTGTTGCCATCTCACATCAGCAACAAACACATCAGCAACAAGAATCGCACTCCATCTCCAGCCTTCAAGCTGGCCAATTCTCTTCGATTTCCCCAAAACCGATCGGATCGACGGATCCATCGCGACGGATCCATCGTCCCGGTGGTGAGCAGGGATGGGGTCTCAACTGGCTGTGGGATGCATTATGCATAAGAGCTTGCAGCCAAATCAGTTCCCCAGTGATCGGCTCCTCCAATTGGCCGCCCCCAACCAGCTGCGACGTGGGGCGTTTCAGCAGCTTTTTCTGGACGCCTTTGGAACAAGTGCTTCCCTCGCATGCCGAGGCCCCGAAGGCGTCTCCCGCGGGCGACGAGGACGACGAGATCGTTGGTGAGCGTTTTGGGTTGGATCCAAAAAGGATTTCACGAGAATCAACCAGAGGTTTCAGACTCTTGTTCTTCGATTTCCAAACAACCAACTCCTATATTAATCTTGAACAAGCGGTTTTGCACTTCAAGCAGCTGGTCTCCCCAGCACCCAGAAATCTTTTGGCCGAACGGAGGACACATGAAAGGGTATTTCTTCCCATCTGGGAAATGCTCCAGATGCAGGGCCGTTTGGCTCCCAAAGTCAGGCATCTTCCAAATAGCCCACCCAGGTGACACATTTGGAACTGCAGGGGAGGGGTCCAACACTCATGCTGCCTGACTAAAGCCCCTCGAGTAAGTTTTCCACAAATCTAGGAACCACATGATTAGTGCGAGTCCAGTGCCTCATAGCTACTAACTAGCTTACCTCTTCCTATAGCGCCCTACGCCCGCACCCCGCGGGCACATGAGGCTTTGGCATCCCAGCAGATCGATCCCTGCTTCGTTTCGATCAGCTACGGAAACACGCGCGTTACTTGGTTGGTGAAACCGTAGGCCAGCAAGCTGGGGCTTTGCCAGACTCCCCAAAGCACCTAATGCCTCACTCCTTTAAACCAAGGGCATGAGCTTTCTATTGTAGTTGGTATATAAGTGCTGCGCAGCCTCACTTAACCAGTTGCGCTGGCTTTGCCTTGTGAGTTTGTAGTTCTGGTTATCGTTTAGAACTCATCTTACCAAGCCTCCACAGACAGCCTGCTTTGTCAATCCCGCTTGTCACCAGACTACATCTCGTCAAGAGAATTGCTATTTTTATCCGAGAGACTGGAGAGATCCCACAGACGACTTCATCTCTGGAGGAGAAATTGGGCAAAGAACTCGGGCCAAATTAGCTTGTTCTGGGGTGATCCTGGGCCCTGCAGTACCCAAATGGGTTTGGAAATTGGACTATAGTTTCGCCAGGTGGCCAGATTAATAGGGGGTTGCTTAGTCATGAGTTGACACTATTCATGTTGTTTGTTGTCATTCATCCTATAATATTCTATACACGTGTTCATTTCTGCTTTTCAGATACCCAGCTCAGCTGCTCCACTGGCCTTCCGCTTTGCAGGAGAACTAGCTGACCAAAGGACGCTGAGTCGAGGACGCCAGGTCCTGAGTCTTTCTATTTTCACGTTTTTTGACAACTTTTTTCAGTCTTTCCAAGGAATCACAGTATCACAAGCATTGGGTCTGTCCCTGACTTGACATCCCATGGCTGGCGCCGTGTTTTCTTCTTTTCACCATCACCGCAGGGTCATGGTACTCGGAGAAGAATCCGGTGCTGCAAATGTCTTGGGGATGTGAAGAGGGTCCCTCCCTGGCTTTTCATCCGAAGATTCTTCCCCAGAAGTCGGGAAGCGGTTGGTCTCCGGAGCTGGACACCTGGAAGTTCGGCATCGCATCGAAGAGTGGAACACTTGGATTCGCTTCGCTCACGGTGTGGAGCACGGGTCCACCGAGGCACGGGTTCACCAGTCCCTGCCCGGCTCGACGGTCGCCCAGAAGCGGAGTGCGCGAGTTCGAACGCGCCATGGGCTGTGGTGCCAGCGCAGAGAAGAAGGCGGAGGTCAGAGTGAGAAATGCCCGTCAGCCATTTGGATCTCTAAGCCCAAAGAACCGACCCCACCAACCAACAAGCGATGCAAAGTCCAAAGAAGCAGAGACTAGAGAGAACCCATGATCACCCACCCACCCACCCACCCAACCCACCCACCCACCCACCCAACCCACCCAAAAAACGCTTCTGAAGGATTCTGAAGGACCCCAAACTCACAGCACATCGAACAAATCAGACTAATCATTAATTATGGTCTGACCGCCAGACCAAACAACTTCACTTGGACATACTCCGACCACATCACCTGCAGACTGAAGGTCTGACTACCTGACGACCACATCACTTGCAGCTTCTTGTTACTAGTAGCAAGGCCAGGAGCTACTAGTAGCGTCCTTGCTCCTAGTAGCGATGCCCTTTGTTCCTAGTAGCTTCTTGTTACTAG